GGTGACTGGTGCCAACTGAGGCAAGGTGTTCCAGTTTGGCCACCATACCCTCCTTGTTTGTTATGATGAGGTCTAGTGGCTTGGGTGTTTGTTCCCCTCTGTAATGTGTCGGGTCTCTAACATGTTGGAACAGAAAATTATCTCTGAGTTTCTACATAAAAATTAGCAGGGTTATTCAAGTCATTTGTGATGAGCTCGTTTCTCCAGTCGATGTCACCATAGTTAAAGTCCCCCGTGATAAGGAGGTGGCTAGGGTTGAGCATTGCCGCATTGTCTATTAAGGCTCTTAAGTTCCTTTGATTTAGTGGGCCACAGTTTGGGGATCTGTAGATACACCTGACAATAAGTAAGTCCCCTCCCTTTAATTTAATTTTGCACCACTTGGACTCTTCAAAAACATCCTCTCCCTGCACCCTCGCCTGGCTGGCTCTAAGGTCTTACCTAGCATAGATAACCACACCCCTCTTGCAAGTTTCTTGAGAAAGGTTCGTAAATGAGTCATATCCAGCAATACTGAACTCGCATTACTCGGGGGCGATTCTCTTGTTCTTGTACAACAGTTCTACAACTCCTACAATATCAGTAGTGTTTCAAACTCCTCTCTCTTATCAAGGAACGTGTCTATTAGTGTACATGACATTCAAGCCAGAATTTGGTCTCGGTAACGTCTCTGCTCCTAGTAGTAACCCCCACCCCATTCTCAGAAGCTGCAGCATTTGCTAAGTACACTGTATTTTGTAGGGTGTGGTTAGAAATGTCATTGTTTACAAGGCGCTTGCCACCTTCCGGCTGATAGGTGGAGCTGGTGCCACCTCCCTGGCGAGGGGTTGAGCGGGTGGAGGGTTCTCTGCTGTCCCCCAGCCCTGTGTCGGCACACTTGCTTCCACCACTCTCTCCCTGAATACAACGCATGTACACCCGTCCCCGCTCCTCTTCAACTCGTCCGTTCTCTGCTTCAAGCCCTGCAAGAGCTTCCTGTGGTGTTCCCTCTGCATTACCGTGCGATCTGGGTGAATAAATACACTCCTAAATGCGTCGATACTTGCTAAGTTTTTTGCCTGCCGAATGACCTCCCATTTCTCTTCCTCACTCACTAGTGTGATCCTGAGGGGGCGAGTCTTGTCTCCCTACTTTTGTCCCAGCCTCCTCACATCCTGAGGGGTTGATGGCATCTTCATAATCTCTGTACAAATATTCTTAAACTGCATCTTATTATGTGTTATCTTACTCTTGGTTTCCTCCGCCTGGCTCTCAGGGACTCCAAAACCTTTTACTGCACATTGTTCCTGCACTGGAAACGTTCCCGTTGCTCCTCCTGTCCCCTAACAGTAGGTCCGTTAATTTTCATTTCTTCGACACACTTCTTCAGTGTCCCTAGCTGCTGTAGAACCTGTAGTGATCCTGCATTACTCTCTGCCACCACCCCGTGGCCCTGGTAATACCTCGGCATTACTCTTCTTAGCAACCACCTCCATTCTGTCGTCTACTTCCTCAGTCTTAGCAAGGATCTCTTTCCCAACTTGTTCTAGTTTGGCAACCAGCAAGGCTCCAGCTTTATCTATTTTCGTCCCTAGGGAGCTCATTCCCCTATGGCTTGCAATTGCCTCATTCACCTTGACTACGTAGTCAGGGCAATACCAGCAACAGCCTTCATGATTTACCGCAGTTTGCATCATCCTAAACGTTGTATTATTCAGGCCTGTATCCTCCACATCTGACATCCCCTTGCAATAATCACATACCATACTCATGGTTGTTGTTGTTGTGTGTGTGTGGGGGGGGAGGGGGGTACAGAGTGTGTATAAATCTACACCTATTTAAAAATAAAGAGAGAAAAAAATCAGTACCTAGCTGTCCGCTGCTGGTGTTAACCTCCCTTGTTGCCTTTAGAGTTGTCTTTTGTTTTCCTTCTCGTTTTTTCAGTTCACTTCGGCTCTTGTCAGTATTTATGTGCTATCTCTATGTACACTGCATTTTGCTATGAATAACGGATTTTATACACCCACTCAGTCCTTTAGACACTCAGGAAAATAAAATAAAACTTTCTTTGGGGCAGTAATAGAATGCCTTTAAGGATTGCCAAGCTTTTTGATTTTATTTAATTTTTTTTATTTCAACTAGTATTTCCTTATACTTTTTTTTCCAGTTCTCATCAACGACTATATCTCTTTGTGCCATCACTGTGTACACTGTATCTCCCTGTGAATGGTGTATTATAGGCACAGTTTCAGTCCTTGAGAAAGCACACAAACAAAATAAAATTTAAAGTCTCTGTGGTACCTATAACACGACTTGGTTTCAGCTGGCAGTGGTGCCTCTCCAGCTTGCTTGCCAATTTGTATTCACTTTAAGTTACTTACAACCTCTTCCACAGTCACTGATGACAGTATGAACTGATTTAACTAAAGGCACAGTACTAGTACACTCCCTGGTCGGCCTTTATCACAGCCGTGACCACATCTCCGTAAAAAACAAAATTAAAATAAAAGCTTTGTCATATGGTTATGATTTTGTGGTTGCAGGCCTCTTGACCTGGGCTGCTCCTCCAACTCGGTGGAGATTGAGTTCTCAAAAATACAATTGCGTCTGACATTAAAAATCCTACATCGATTTACATTTTCACATCACTAAGACGATCTTAATGATCTTATGTAATCACTGTCCAATTTCTGCCGCTCAACAACGAAGGCCTGAATGCCGAACACGCGTTGTTACAGAGACGCAACACGACCCGACCCGCGTCCCTAGGGAAATTATTTCTTGCATATGCCATGATGGAAAATTGTGACATTGTTTATTCATATACTACTGTAGCTTTTTTTTTTTAGAGAATAATAATGATATATAGTGTATTAGAAAGTGGTAATGCAAAATGAATAGAGGAGAAAGGAAACATAATATAAGAGGAAATAGAGCAACATAGATAACTAGAGAGCCAAACATGGCATATTTATACGGGTTTTCCTATACTTCATGATTTCCTTTGCCTTTCAGAAATGTCTGGAATACGTGAGTGAGCAAGGCATGTAAAATGTGAAAGGAAAATCAAGTTTTTATGGTTATATATGAATTTATTCTTTACCTATATATATTCCCAAAGGTGGTTTACTTCCTTGTGCCTGGGTGGACTAATTCCCGTAAAAAAATAAAATACAATAAAATCTGACATTCTACTTAAAAGCTAGACGTCGCATTCTGGTCTATACCCTGTTTCACAAAAACGTTTTTTTTTTTTTAGAAAAAAGGGCTTACACTATTATGAACACACAAAAAAAGTTTTTCCCACAAAATCGTAAATTTAGTCTAGATATTACTACTTTATGGCTTTTAATTGTTAAATATGGACTCCTCATGCTTTTTTCAATAAAAAATTTTTTTTAAAATGTCAATGTAAACATTTAAATTTTTATTTTTTTTGGCACTTACTGGGGAATACTACCGAAATTGGTGGACGCGGTGAAAGGGTTAAAATACTAAAAAATATAAATTTGCCACAGAAGCGTAATAAAGTAAATTTTTCTCTTTCTCCCTAAAAGTAGAAATATGAAGTTCCTTGTTCAACTTAAAATTAATTTTTACCATAAGATCAGGCATACAGATGATTTCTTCTATGACACTTTTCTCGCATTTTGCCTAATGTGAGTTGAAAATCAGAAAACTACTAAAAAAAAAATCTTATCTCATTGCATTTGTTGCCACCAACTGTATCTCATGATTTTTCTTTGCAAACAATAGTTTAGATAATTCTAAGACACTTCTTCTATGACATTTTCCTCACAAATAACCTAAAACAGAGATAAAACAGATATTTAATATACCCCTGTACAGCTCCTCCCCGACTTACGACGGGGTTCGGGACCCAAATCCAGGTCATAAGTCGAAATGGTCGTAAGTCGGAAATGCTTAAATAATACAAAAAATCTAAAATGGGTGTCTCTTTTTCTTCTCAGTACCACAAAAGTCTCACTTTTAAGCTTTGCCAGCCATTTTAAAGGGAATTACAAACAAAAATTTTGTCTGTGTACAGAAGTTGGGACTCGAAAATACGTAATTTGACAAAATTTTGGTATGATTGAGGCAGGTCGTAAGTGCGGGTGGTCATAAGTCGAGTAGGTCGTAAGTTGGGGAGGAGCTGTATACAGTATAAGGAGGTCTGGGTGAGAGGGGGGATATAGGTAAGGTTAGGTATGTTTGATTGTTTAGGAGAACTTACCTAATTAGTATACGTGGTTGATGGCATCAACCAAACCTACCTAACCTTACCCAAATTCCCTTATATATTAAGTATCTCGGTTCTAGGTCGTTTGCGAGGGAAACATCATAGAAGAAAGGTGTCTTTGAATTCTCTAAACTATATTTTGTAAAGAAAAAAGTCATGAGATTTGGTTGGTGGCAACAAATGCCATAATGGGTTTTCTAGTAGCTTAGGGGTTTTCAACTCCAAGTATCTCGGCTATGAGTATAAACTGCCAAAAGTGTCATAGATGAAAATTGTCTTGTTTTTGTCTGAACTTATCATTAGCAATAATAAAACATCCAATATTGAATTTTGTCCTCTACTATAAATTGACCATTTTCTTAAGTTTGCGAGACCGAGGGAAGTAAAGAGGTTTCTTACAAATGCCTGTAAGGTATCCCGTAGTTTCGGACCTTGGTAACTTCAGAGCATTATGTTCGGCCCACAGCAGGTTGGTCTGAACTTAACGATATTTATCTTATTTTCAGGCTAAATTTTGTTAGGTTAGGCTTAGATTACTTTAGGTTTGGTTAGGTTCCTTTCTGTTCATATTCTATTATAGCTACTACTGGGTAATTCTTTTTGTGTGTGTGATAATGTCATAAATAATCATCTTGCAATATATGTTATGAATTTAGCGATATTGCGCAAGGTAACTTCGGACTAACTTGTAATGAGCTGAATTTACCGGGTTAAACATAGCAAGGTCCGAATTTACTCTAAATTGTCTAAGATTAAGTTGTAGCTGATTGTTTCTTGGCAGCATGGAAAGGTGGATTGGACGTGTAGCACTGGTGACTGGGGCCAGTGCTGGCATAGGGGCGGCCATCTGCAGAGTTCTTGTTGACAAGGGCATGAAGGTTGTTGGTGCTGCACGTGATGAAGAGAGGATACAGGTAAGTTGACTTGTTATGTAATGTAAGGTTAAATGAAGCACGCTGTGCATCCCGGTGTTCTTTTGTTACTGTTTGTAGTGAGGCACATGGCCACCAAGTAAACAGAAGGACTCCTCTCTCCATGTATTATTATAACCCTACAATTCCCATTGCTTTGCTTGCTTGACTCGTAACATGGTGGCAACAAGTGGAATACTGTACATGATAGAGAGTTGTCAGGCCGAATAAGAAGTGCTGACAAGAAGAGGAAACACTGCTGCAGTGGAAGTTTGAGCCACTATTTTATGGGAGAGAATGCTGAAATGATGAATGCCAGGCACCCTGTATGTGGCAAAGACGACTGATGTGTTCACTTCCCTTCTGTAACTGTTGTGTTCACCTATCTGTTGTGATAATCTCTGTGCCGATCTACCATAACCGCTGCACTGTCGTGAAGACGACTCAAACCTCAAGCTAAGTACCTAGCATAATGTCGCTCAACCCTTTCTGTACCTGGTATCAAGCCACCACAACCACTGTCACTTGGTTCAAGCATAGCCAAGAATTGGAAGGTTTTCAAGCAAAGGTGGAAGGACAAAGCAGTATTTTCTCAATTAGACAAGCATGACAAGGTGGTACAAGTAGTTTTGTTAACGCATGTGCTTGCTGATGACACTCTTAAAGTGTACAATAGTTTTCTATTCACAACCGAGGAGTCAGAGAGAACTTTCAAGGAGATATTGAGAAGATTGAGGAGTATTCCATAGGAAAAGTAAATGAGACATATGAAAGATTTGTCTTTAACAGAAACCAGGCTGAAGGTGAAACTTTTGATCAGTTCTACTGTAATCCGAGGTCTCTTGTAAGAACGTGTGCTTACTGTGACAGTTGCTTGCCGTCACTGGTCAGGGATTATATTGTCTTGGGCATTAGAGACTCGAGTTTGCAAACTGAACTGATTAAAGTGTGAGACCTCACACAAGAGAAATGTATCGACATATGTAAAGCAGCTGAAAATGCAACAGCTCGGAACAGAAAGATAAGACCAGACACAGTAAATAAGGTAACACAAAAGAACAGAGGGTATAAGGAGAAGAATGACAGAGGGAAAGACTGAAAGTTTTGTGGTTATAAACATGCTCTCATAAAAGAGAAATGCCCTGCATATGGCAAAAAGTGTGTATCACGTGGCCTCGGTAATCATTTGCTAATGTGAGTAAATCACAGAAAAGTCAGTCTTGTCGTCAAAATAGAGAGGTAAAGAATAAGAGAGGGCATAAGGTCTATAACGTATGTGACTGACTGTGACACATTTGAGTCTGAATCTTCCTCAGCAAAGTCAGCTACTGACTTTATTCATTCAGGGTCTTCTAAACCTAGATCACATGACAACACTCACAAGGAAGCCAAGTGTAAGATGGTGATAGGGGGTAAAGATATAGTCTTTCAGATTAACACTGGTTGTACTGTGAATCTCTACCCCTCAGTTTTCCAAACATGTCAAACCTACAAATAAAGTCCTTAAGATCTGGAACCAAGGCAGTCAGGTTCCAGCTGGTAGTACAGTGCAACCTCTAAAATTTGAATTGCATGCAGGGCTGTGGAGTCGGAGTCGGAGTCGAGGAGTCGGAGGAAATTTCGGCTTGTGGAGTCGGAGTCGGTAAAATTGTCCAGACTCCGACTCCGACTGAAGCTATTCTGTTCCTAAGAACAAATATATGAACTCAGGCATATTCATTGCAGTGATTCCACTGATCCCACTAATTTTCTTAAATTATTAAAAGAATTTATTTCCATTTTATAAGCATTATTATGAATTTATTGTAGCAGGCACAGTACAGTTGTACCCCACTTAACGCGGTCAATAGAACCCAGAGGGTCCCGTGTTAAGTGAAATCCGCGTTAAGTGAACAACAGAACATATGGGATTAATTCCAATAGAAACCGGCCTGACCCCCAAACTCCACTTTTTGAAGGCACATACCTATGTTGTAGTAAAAATAACATCTTAATTTTATGATGGTACATGCACACAATTAATACTTAAGAGAAATAGAGAAATACAGTCGCCAAGTTAATGTCCATTCAAATAATGGACTCAACTCCCTCCCCCTCTCACACTACACTGCCGGCTCTTCCCTCTCTGAGAAATTTTTGGGGGAAAACCACTAAATTTTAATAAATAATACCTCAAACTAAAGTTAGGATAATACAATTGACATTGCTGGATTCCTTGTAAGACCAGGAATATTTTGAATATAAATGTCATATATTTTGCACAAAAGATAACATAGTTACCTAGAGAAAAATTTTTATCTAAAATTTGTATGTTTAATGCAAAATATATGATATTTATATTCAAAATGATCACCAAATTATAAGAATTCCAGCAATGTAAATTATATTCTGACCGGGTAATTTGTATGAATTTTATGAGCTAAAACAAATATCTTCAGTTAATAAAAAAAAAAAATAATCTTCAGGACACTATATGTCAATCAAAGTACCCCACCTTGCCTCACCCCCTCTTCCAACCGCGCGGTTAGTCCCAACCCTCCCCCCCACCAATCCTCCCTTCAAGAGTTTTTAACATTTAGTATTAAATAATACCTCGGATTAAAGTTAGGATAATATAATTGACATTGCTGGATTCCTTGTAAGACCAGGAATATTTTGAATATAAATGTCATATATTTTGCACAAAAGATAACATAGTTACTCTGAGAAAAAATTTTATCTAAAATTTGTATGTTTAATGCAAAATATATGATGTTTATATTCAAAATGATCACCAAATTATAAGAATTCCAGCAATGTAAATTATATTCTGACCGGGCAATTTGTATGAATTTTATGAGCTAAAGCAGGCAGGGTGGCGGGTGGGGCAAATCTAAAAATAGCGTCTCGAGCCGGACACTCACCGCGTATATGTGGAAAAAATCCGTGTTAAGTGAAAGTTCAGCTCTGGCGAGGCACCGCGTATATGATAAAACGCGTTAAGTGAAACCGCGTTAGGCGGGGTAATACTGTATAGCACTATAATTTTGGACGATAGTCTCTTCTTTACCATTTGAAATTTTGAATTATATCAAATTTTGTTTCGTTGAAAACTGCACAGAGGCTCTCAGCTACAAAACAATTAGCTACAACCTGTTTTTGGTGAGATTAAGGCAAATTTAATTTAATAACTTAATCATGTAAGGTTTATCCATGTTCCTTAATAAGGTATTCATTTCTTTAATGTACATAAATATATAACTTTACTTTAAAAGGAATTGTAGGATCATCATTTAGATCCACATCAGATTATGAGCTTAAACAAAATTCATATGCTGAGATCGAACTTTTAGATATACATGTAAATGGTGTTTTCTAGTTAATATCTTGAATTCTTAATAAATTTATTTTTCTTTTGATTGAAACTTTGAAAGTCAAGCCTATCATCTTTTTGTAGTTCTTAAATATCGTCCAGATCATTAATAAAGCTGTAGCAGTATAGCCACGGTGTTTTACTTTTTACCTACGCAGGTTACAACATACAAATTACAATTAGGATGGTAGAAATAGTTGTTACAAATAGGCCAAGGAGTCGGAGTCGGAAGCATAAAAATTTGAGGAGTCGGAGTCGAAGGTTTTGTCTTCAACTCCACAGCCCTGATTGCATGGGCCCATGAAGTACTATACAGTAGTACCACGATTTACGCGGTCATTTGAACCCACAGGGTACCGCGGAAAGTGAAAACCGCGTAAAGTGAACAACAGAACATATGGGATTAATTCCAATAGAGACTGGCCCGACCCCCAAACTCCACTTTTTCCGACACAATACCTATGTTGTAGTAAAAATAACATCTAAATTTTATGATGGTATGCTCACACAATTAATATTTAAGAGAAATACAGTCACCAGGTTAATGTCCATTCAAATAATGGACTCAAATCCCCCCCCCCCCTCTTCCCAGCTCACTAGCTCCTACCTCTCTGAGAAATGTTGGGTGAAAACACTAGATTTTAACGTTTAGTAATAAATAATACCTCAGACTAAAGTTAGGATAATATAATTGACATTTCTGGATTCCTTGCAGGTCAGGGAATATTTTGAATGTAAACTTCATATATTTTGCACAAAAGATAAAATATTTGCTTTGTGTAAACCAAATTATTACATTAGATCTAAAATTTGTATGTCTAATGCAAAATCCATGATGTTTATATTCAAAATGATCATCATATTGTAAGAATTCCAGCAATGTAAATTATATTCTGGTCGAGTAATTTGTATGAATTTTATGAGCTAAAACAAATATCTTCAGGTTAATAAAAAAAAAAATATTCTTCACGACACTATCTGTCAATCAAAGTACCCCACCTTGCCTCCCCCCCTCCTCACACTCACGCCAGCTGGGTCGGTCGGTCCCAACCCTCCCCCCCCCACCCCCCACCTTCCTTCCCTACCAGAGAAATGTTGGGTGAAAATACTAGATTTTAACTTTTAGTAATAAATAATACCTCAGACTAAAGTTAGGATAATATAATTGACATTTCTGGATTCCTTGCAGGTCAGGGAATATTTTGAATGTAAACTTCATATATTTTGCACAAAAGATAAAATATTTGCTTTGTGTAAACCAATTATTACATTAGATCTAAAATTTGTATGTCTAATGCAAAATCCATGATGTTTATATTCAAAATGATCATCATATTGTAAGAATTCCAGCAATGTAAATTATATTCTGGCCGGGTAATTTGTATGAATTTTATGAGCTAAAAAAAAAAAAAAAAAAGTCCGGTTCTGGCAAGGTACCGCGTAAATGAGAAGTAAATGAGAAATCGCGGAAAGTGAAACCGTGTAAAGCGGGGTAATACTGAATACAAATTTTAGACAAATTAGAATTTTAGTTGTATGGCAGCGCCAGAGCAAATTGTTGTATCGAAACATGATACAAAAATTATTTACATGTCTAAAAACTATCAAAAAGCAATATGTATAATAAATTAAAAGTACAGCTGCTTCTCGA